CTCTAGTCACCAACAAAACTCGTGGTCATGGCCGAACGATGACACTCATGAAACGCACATTCTTGACTGAACAGGGGCTCGGTTGGTTGGTAGTTCTTTGTCGGCAGGTGCGCGCAAATGGCCGGATGGCGGCAAACGCATTTGGATTTGTTAGCGGCCGTTACTCCCGACGCGAAGTACTGGTTGGAGACGCAGTCTGCGGAGCTAAAGTAGCGGAAGTGCACGCGGTTTCGCGGTTCGGCTGGCGAGGTCAGTACCGAATGAAGAGGTCCCTGCCTGCGCGCTGTGTGAATTCCTTAGTGTCTCGGCCAAGTCGGCCACCGAGCATCTTCCAGATCATCTGGATGCTCACAGAGGAATCTTGGCGGCACATTTGGTCCAGAGAATTGCGGGTCCCTTTGCGTGGAAGCTGTGAGACTACAGCCAAGCCTTTCCACAATCGATTTACTGGTCACGAGACCCTGCCAAGACCCAATTTTGGGTGCATACGTGCGACCCCGGTCAATCTTTCTTCTAGCACCCACCGGACAAAAAGGGAGAAGGAAACGAGCACGCAACTATTGGCCATAGACACACTTTCCTTGGACCAACACACCTTGGTCTTGAATACGGCGGCACCGGACCTCATACCGTGTGCTGCGAACGGGTTTGAACCAATCACCTTCTCCTGCCGAGTCCCTGCCATAGCCCTTGCCTTCTATACACATGCCTCTTCTAGCACGCCACAACGCACGAGTCGCGCTCAGTTGTATCCAACTCGTAACGTCTAACTCCCTGGAAGCCTGCCGGCTACCCGTTCACAACATAGATTCTGGTTGTGAGATGTCTGGTTGTGAGGTTGTCCTCGCGAAAGGCTGGTTTCCAAATAGCAGGAGTGATCATTCCTCCGGTGAAATAGAGATTCTTGCACGACCATTTTTTTGAACACCAAAAACACCACACACTTTTTGGACACAAGATGCGCACAAGTTTGTGGCGCATCAAGGATAATGGATGGATGGCTCAAGGCCGACAGAAAACCGCCACACGACACAGCGATAGCACACCTCGTTTCTGTTACACGAGTTTTTAGCAGGCGCCACAAGAGGTGACAGGGCCCGCTTTCGGGAACCTGCTGGCTGTAGTCGTGCCGTTTCCAGCACCGATAGGTGCACTACCTCGCACGTGAAATGTTCGATCGGAAGCCCGAAGGCTTCTCCAAAAAAGCGTATGGAGATAGATTTGTTGGTGAAGTTACTCCAGATGTCAAGGGCCGATTGAAGACGAAGTCAGTGGGGCTGCGGTGGAAGCGCTGCGACGTAGTCAAGCTGGCTATCTCAGAACGGAATGGAAATATCCCAATTCCTGCAATCCGGCCACAAATAGGCTTTCAGTCTTTCCCTTGACCACTGGTCATTTTGTATCACACGGCAAAGCCTCCATGCAGCGGCCTAATTTCTGAAGATAAGGTCCGGCAATCATCTCTTTCAACTGCCATGGCAAGAGGTTCTGTTTACCACATCGCAGGGCACCGTCTGTTTGATATCTGATTAGCAATTTAGTCAGGGCGATCACCCATCACTGGGAAAGAAGGATTGGTCCTTCTTTCAGGACACCACGGACGATAATAAAGACTCTGTCTGTGGGGACCTCCATTCCGGGCACCGACACGGGTGGTGTGCCCGGAATGGATGTTCTACTTCATCTTGGATATGGTGGCACAGAACCTGAGGGGGTTGGGTGGGTGGATCAGCTCACTGTTGATGTGCTAGGGCCCGACACTAACACATCAAGTCTAGCCGTGCTCGAAAGATGAGTCCTAGTATACATACGATCTAAATTTCCCGGCTCTCTTCGGGGTAGTGTTTTGACACTTGACATCCACAGCACTCTTGTGGGCAAGGTAATCATATTTCAGTTTCAGTAACCCAGGCAATATGATATCGTCATCGGCAGGCAACTTATTCATCAAATCAGACACTTCGCTCATATCGCTACAGGGAAATACGTCGGAAATTGATCAACACATCTCGGGTCGGGATTAGTGGGTAATTACTTCATTTTCAAAGCCTTCACTATTCTCTTTCTTAAGGCTTCCTGCTTCTTAAGCTTTGTGAGTCTTGCAGCAAACTTGTCAATACTCGCCGACTTCAAATATTCAAACACAATCTGGGTGAGTAACGTTTCCATCGGGTTGATCTTGTTCTCCTCCCGCTTCAACATTGCTTCACACTCACTCAGGAGATATGCATCCTCCTTCATCTTAGACAGCTCTTTTGACACATGATGGCTCATATTCACCCTGTCCAGATTCTTCTCATGTTCCAAGATCCTGAAAATGAACACGTGTGCGAGTGCCTGAACAAAGCGTGCATCTGCCGGAGCACGTGTGTATTCGCTGAAATAATCGTGTCACAAGTACGTGATATAGAGAGCTTGTCCATCTCGACAGTCAGGAAACACTGGCGGTTCGAAATAGTTCCATTGCTGTGCAGTAGCCTTGGCAAAAGCATGTTGTATACACTTAATGGACATATTGGCTTTCTTCAGGGCTTGATAATTCCTTCGAACAACACTCCCTCGCCATATGGCCTGTATTCTAACTACACGAGCGGCGATCACGCCTAACCACGCATGCTCCAGCTGACCCATCGTCTGCGGATGAATGTAGACCCTGTTATTCTGGATGGTGAACTCGGTGGCTCTCCCAGTCTTAATAGTGGCCATGATGGCCCCAACGCGAGCAACTGGATCAATCGTCCCCAGGACCTCAGGAAGAGGCCGGGCAAACTGCGATACGCCAGAAGAAACGGTAGTACTCGTATGAGCACCCCGGACATCAAAAACCGATCCTCGTCGGTCCCTACCTACTCTGGTCGGTACGTTCAGGGTAATGTTGGTCACCACCGCGCTCTCCTTGCTGGCTTGTTGCTTATTGGTAGATTGATCACGGGCCACGTCTGACCCTCCTCTGGACCCACTGCGATTAGTCGTTTCAGAACTGACTTGTTCCAGTCCCCGTTTTGGAAATCGATCCTTGCTGGAATGAGAGTTAGCAGCAGGCGAGTGAGTAGCAGGGGTACTGGCCGAAGGGGTGTTGGCGGAGGGGAGGCTGATTCGGCATTTGGTCTTGCGGTGGCCGTGGAGCAGAATTGAGTATTTCTGGAGGAAGTGAGGAATGCTAAACCAAGGCGCATGAAGATTGTGATAATCCTGACAGAAGCGACTCAAGTTGAACCTGCAGATTTGGTCGAACAAGGTGAAGGAGTTGCCATAGGCTATATTAATCAAATACGTGGAATTGCAGTCTGCGAAGTCGGTGAGAATTCTCCACATGTCATGGAAGTGGCCCTCAGTGTCGTCCAGAATAGTTTTGAGAGTGCCTGAATTCGTGTGAGTCTTCCACAGCTTACAGACGGCTTTCAGATGGTGGCTAAACATCAATTTCCAGTGCACGGTATTGTATTCAGTCACACTCGTTTTGCTGGTCATTCGCATCACGTGCTCCCGGCGCTTATGAGCAGCTAGTCCACAAGGTGTGTCATGGGGCAAGTTCTGGATCAAGTAATGCACAAAGCTAACGTCAATGTCGCTATTGTAGTCGTTCAGCAAACGGCGAATATGGTACGGCCCAATGGGGTTCAGCAGCATTTCGCCGATCTTCTTCTGATTCACCTGCGGAAAGATAACCTCCCGCAAACGACGGGCCACCACCGACATCAAGAAGTGTCCGTAACCACCACTCGTACCTTCGTACCCTGGAGCCTTATTGCTGCGCCGCCCACCGCAGCCACCGAACATGGGCCCTCCGCTCCCTAATTCCTCTGCGTGCCCCCCTTTCCCATCCTCCACATGGATTCCCTCGCCGTCGAACACGTCCTTCGTGCCCAAATCATACTCCAAATGCGCAATACAGCCTTCCTTCAGCCGCGCCAGTCGTTCCATTGGGTTTTCTTGACACTTATTCAGCCACTCCCGCGACAGCAACGCATTGTTGATCCGACTCCGCACGTACCGAAAAAGGCCATTGTAAATAACGCTCAAGAAGAAGTCTCGGTACACAGCACACTCCGCATAGTCTAGCCACCGATACTCGCTCAGCCAAGGCGGCAACGACCCCATAACCGAATCCATTTCGTGGCTGGTCAAGTACACCAACTTCGGAGCGTCTTTAAACACGGTCGACCGAGCAGGGAACTAAAACACAACCACATGGTGACCGACCATCCCACTGCTATTGGGTGATCCACTGCTGTTGGGGCTAGTGCACCTACGTCATGAAGGGCCCCTTGATTATGGGGGCTGTACAGGAATTCGGAAGCCTGCCGATCTCCGCACAGGAGGGCCGTCGTGAGATCAGGTGAGAAGAGGGCCAGGAAAACGACGATGGGGATTTTCAGTAAGTCGCAACATACCAACGCGCTCTCGACAGACGCAGGGGATATCGGACACGGCTCAGCCTTCACCAGTCGCAATTGTTTATCCACCGGGTCAGTAACAGTGGCCAGGATGTAGGCAGAAGTGTACTCCCGGAAGTTCTCGGTGTTCATGAAGAAACTGTTCCCCTTGGCCACCTTTTGCGCGCTGTGACTCGGATGATCCGCTTGGCTCGACATTACCAGCCTAGAGTGCTGTCTCTGCGTCATACGCAAAGCACCTCTCCCAGGCGAGGATAGGTCGTGCCCCGCCATTCCCGGTTGAGAAACTGCAGCAGTCATTTTGGGGGAATTAGTCTGCGCCGTCCCAGCCTGGGTGCCGGTGCCGGCACCCATATCGGCCGGAGCGCAACTCGTTCCTTGAACTGAAGCATCGTCGAGAACGTCGTCGATGAAGAAGGTCTCACTCGCGCTGAAAATATGAAATCGAACGTTCCGCAAATGCAGCAGTGTCCCCAGAACCGCCAAGGTACACTCGTACTCGGACGGAGAAAATCCAAAAACGGTTCGCAGGCAGGAGAATGTCTTGGCGCCGTTGCACCGGTGGTCGACCAGCAGTGCCCGGAAAAACGGGTCCTGGTTCGCGGGGAAGATCGTAGCCGTTCTAGTCAGAACATCACCCCTTTCATTCACAAGTCGTTCCCGCCCATCTTGGCTTCCTTCCGGACGTGGCTTTTCAGACCCCATGGGGGGATTATTGAGCGCTCCATTGGGGTTGAATCCGCCGCTAGCACTTGTAATTAAGTTACTGGGAAGCCTATCAGGACTTATGTCCGGCTCCTTTGTCGTCTCGTCCCCGTCCACGGAGCTCGTAACCCCGGCCTCAACTCTATCGCGATATGTAGCCAAGTCAGCATTGAAGACACTAAACATATGAAATTGTTGATGGTCGCATTTGCCTAGTCTAAATCGGTGCCTCCAAGAAGGATCCAGAATGATATCCGATGCCCCCAGGAGCTGGAAGAAGATATGGAACGGCCAAGGGGTCTCTTCGTGCTCCAAAGGCACTTCATCCTCAATATCGGATGAGGAGTCGTCTTCGAACAAATTGCTGAAATGTGTGCGATGGATCGCGCGCGCGTGTTTCAGCGCACCGATGGAATTTTTTCCGTGGAGACACGACAGATCTATTAAGTTATGCTGAAACGTTAGCCCAAGAAACCGCCGGTGCATGTCAATAGCGCATTTGTACCCGCGGAAGCCCAAGCAAACGTTTTCTCGTCCTACGCCCGGACCGCAGACCATCGAATCCAAGATATGTAGACCCGCTAGGACCCTGTCCAGAAAGCTCGAAGGCAACGCCGCTTCATTCACTTGCGCAGACCAGGATAGGCCCATGGAAGACATTTTGCTTTGAGAATTCAGTCCCGGATGAACCCGCAAAACGCTCGTTGTAGGGTTCGTTATCCGCCGACGGCGGACGGACTCGGTAAACGCCAGCAAGCTCTGACGGCGCTGCTGCTGGGTGTTCAGTTTGGTGGCAGGAGCGATAGCCATAAGCGGAATTTGATCGCAAGTATTCCGCAGTAGACACAGGAGGTACTGCAAACCTTCCTTCATGAGACTCTTGTTCTGGAATGTGTGAGATCGAGGATCCGGACCGCATGCCAAAAGCATCCATATTCGGTCACCGCCTCCATGATCCATTTCATCCAAGCCTTTGTCGATCCATCGCCGAAAGTGAATGGGTCTTAACCAGTAGGAGCATGATCCAATTACGTCCGAACCGAGGCCCGGCGGCCACCCAGCTAAAATGCATGCGTCCCTAGCCGTCGGGCGTGCCTCCCGGGTGCGCATCTTTCATGCCTCCCTGGTGTTCATCCCTGATGCCTTCCTGGTCTGCTCAGTCCATATCCCCCCTTCGTCGGCGAGTTCCCCACTCGTCCAAGGGGGTGCGTCTTCACCCCTGCCTCTTACGTTGTGGGTTGTTGAATTGAGCCAGTGGCAGCTCGTCATTGGTCTCCGAGAGCAGCGCCGGGTTGGCTAGAGACATGATGATTTTGTGGCTGATTCGAGTCCAGGTAATGCGTTGTTTCTCAACGCATCTGCGGATCATGTAGAGCAGGTCGGGATCGGTCCAGGAGTGGAGGTATTCGAAGCTGGACTGTATGATGTCGATTGGCATGGTGGTGGCCAGTAAGTTGTAGACGTCTTCGTACGTCTCGAGCTTGTCGCTGAACCAGGGCGGTCCGCCGTTCAGGACTCTGTGTCTGACTCTGCATTTGATGGCGTAGACCTCGTCTACGAGCACGGTCTCGTTGGCGTCCTTCTTCCCCCCCTCGGCCCTGCAGTTGAACTCGGGGTAGGTGACGCCATTGCCGTTGGACCGGCATACGGCGGGCACAAGAACTAAGGTGGGGTGGGGCAAGTGATACCAATCATTGACGGTGTAGTTGGTGAACTTCCGCAAGCACGCAAACGCCTCACTCGGCCGCACATGGCCCGCGTCTCCTCGGTGACTTATGTCGCCTCCATACCTCTGCCGGGACTTGTGACTGCGCGCCGAGACCAAGTCTTCAGCCAAAATCTCATTCACCGGTACCGATTTCGTCTGACGGTCTTTGGTCAAAGAAACGATCTTCGCCGGATCCACCGAAAACAAGAGCTTCTGAGCTTCGCGATACTTCTCGTCATATCCCGCCTCGCCTGCAGGCACCTTCAACCGGATCTTGTAACGCGTCATAGTCGGCTGCGCTCCTACGTTCTCCGAATGACGGTGCAACGTAGTCTTATCCATCACACACTGCTTCGAATGCTTCTACGATGTGATTTTTAATCCGGCGGATGCGGGAGGGAGCCTCATCAGATCTCGGTCAAAGTTGATTGGCGTCTGGACCAAAATCTTGTACGAGCCGCCCTTGGGATGGAGAGTGGGGACGGGATGGAGAATGCCCCGGTCCGGTAGTAAAAAGAGAAGCAAAAATGCAGGTGATCTAACCGTGGGCTAGTTGGCTGTCCGTGGTCGTCGATTTTTGTGACTGTCGGCTGGTTGTAGCTCGCCGGCGTCGACCCGGTTAAATTCGGAATAAATCCCGGAAGTATTATCCACCATGAAGGGCGCCCGATCCGGTCAGCAGCGCGAGGCGTCTGGCCGCACGTTGCAGCTCCTGTGCTTCATCGCCCACACCCCCGTAACTGGGACTTCTCCGGCGCTGTCTCTGGGACCTCCCGTTAGCGCCTGCAAGGCCATGCCTGTCGCACGAGCGGATATCCACTTCTATGCCACCGAAGGGTCGGAGCACATCTTAAGGAAGGCTTTGCACTTGGACACGGTTGAGTCGGAACCACAACCGGTGGCGCCGCCGCCCAGCCAGCCAACGAGCCACGTGCATCGTCATCACGTGCATCATCACGCTCGGGGTGCCACCACTCCGGACTCAGCGACCCCCGGCCCGACATCCAGCCCGACTCCCGGTCCGGTTTACAGAGACATCGGACAGAACGCCCGTCAGAATGCCGGTCAGAACGTCGGTGAGACCGTCGATGAGACCGTCGGTCAGAACGTAATGGTGCAGCCAAGCCTGCCGTGTGCGTCAGGCGGTCCCCGGGTGTACTACACGTGTCAGTACGCCCAGTCGCATGGCACGGTGCTCGCGACGCACCCAGCCGTTGTGACGCATTCGAATGCGTCGTGTAGTGCCGCGTGGGATCAGCAGGTCGTCGTTTCTCACCAGCAGGGCGTCGTTTCTGACCCCCGGGGCGCCGCCTGCAACGAGTGCGTAGGCCGTGTGGCGGCCTCCCAGTGGCGCGACGTCTTTCCCAGGCTCGGCACTGCACGAGTGCCTGTACACACGCGCGTGCCCGATACGTTGGAGGAGTTCTTAAGTACCCGATTCACAGACCCCGTACTCCGAAGATTGCAGGCAACTGTGCTCAACAAGTTCGAGACGTTCAAACGCCAATTTATCGTCGAAGTCGCAGCCCTAATCCACGACCACCGAGACATGGCCAAGTATATCAACAACGCCTGCTTCTACTCGTGGCTACAAGGCACACCTTCCAACCCCACAGTGGCCATACAGGCCGAGCACGAGACCAAAATAAAGCTCGTGCGAGATTACGCCGATAAGTACATATACCATGCGGGCTCCGGCTCTCGCAGCGTCAGCTCTCGCAGTGTCAGCTCTCGCAACGCTGGCTCAGCATACGGGCAGGAAGAAGTTGGTCCCGAGTTCGTCACAGTGGACGGAGAGGAATGCGAAGTCATGGAGTCTTGGTAGAGTTCGATTTTCTCCAATTTTTAGAGTCAAACATTGCACCATATGTCGATTAATCGGGTGCTGCTGTTGGTGGTTTGCGTATCGGCATTACGACAGGCTTTGTGGAAGCCCAGTGGTGCCCTTTTGTCGGGGACGCCGTCTGATTCTCCGGTTGCGAGAGATCATCACCTTCAGATAATCATAAACCAGGGGACAGGAAGCGAGGAGTTGGACCACGCCATGTGTGATCTATATGCGTTAGCGGGGTACTTTAGTAACAAGCTCGCAAGCCCGGGGCTCCGTACGACTCTGTTGCGATCAACCGTTGGGGGACAGTCGCCGTCTTCAGAAGCTCTGTCGGCCAACAGCAAAACACACGAAAAGTGTCTGAACCAAGAGAGAGTGCGCTTGCAGGCTCACATGGACGAGCAAGAGGAAGCTATGAAAAAGCTGACGCCAGTGCCCAAAGCTTTGAACAGTCGACTCATCGCATTGCAAGCCATGCAGCTTATCGCCCAATCGATCCTGCAGCTCAAGTACATAGGTAAAGAGATGGACAACTTGGTCTTCCTGGCAGGCCACTATCATACCGACGTACAGACCATCCTTGAGACTACTCCACCCGACCAATTTCTAACGATCGTGGACCAACTCCGCAAACAAGCCAAAGAAAAACACCGTAGGTCTCCAGTTCTGGAACAGGCCAAAAAACACCTGCAAAGGAATCCGGGAGAAATATCCGCCTTCAGACGCGCCTTAGAGGAAGCAATTGAAGAAGATATCATGGACGAATTCGGCGACCGCAACGAGGTTGCACTTGCACACGGGCTCTTCACATAATCCTCTCCCACTCCGACCACTGGCCCCAACATCGTGACGATGTGTTCTGTTGCCCCGGATCTTGCCTGGAGGCTGTGCCAAAAGGTTTGCGTGAAGAAGGTGCCAAAGTTTGAGGTAAAAAAAATTGGCCTTTTTTTGAAATGAAGACCGTGGGTGCCGTGCCAAGGCTTCGATGCACATCAGGTTTGGTAGCCCACATAGTGGTGCCTGTTTCTATGGATGGGAAGGTGATAGATGTGGTGTCTTTGAATCGGCCTGAAGAGCCGCTGTATTCTTCTGCCGCGGACTTGGCTGCAGTGTGGTGGACTCCCGTTCAAGAAGCTTTATTCAGCGGGTTGGAGCTATTGGATGGTATGCCAGCTGCTGCAATAAACGGTACTTCGTTCTCCAGTTACCAGCTGAGCGGTTGCCTGACGAAATCAGACAATTGCGGGGCCGAAGAGGAGCTGACGGCCCTGCTGCACCAGAACGTCCGGTTTCAACAGAGCCTTCTGTCCACTGTGGCTGAGGTGATCTTTTCTCTCGTACCCGGAGCCAAATACTTGAAGGACGGGAACGCCGAACGCCTCCTGGAATGGGGACAGGACCACGTGGCCGTGCTCCAAGTAGAAGCAGCGCAATCCGCCTTCTATGCCCGTTCCTCAGATGGCGGGGCCACGTACTTGGATGGCACATACTGGGAGGGCATGGACGTCCCAGTGGGGGGGCGGACACTAACCATCCCGTTCTGTGGAAGAGTGCAAGATGGGACACAAGAGGAAGAAGATCAGCTAATCCTCCAAATCTTCAACATGGAGTTCTATTCCGAGCAGACGCTAGACGAAGAACTGCTTCGCGAGGAACGGTTCTACGGTCGGGACCCATTCGATCAAAACCACCCAGCTCTGTCTACAGCGACCAAGCGGCTCTCCAAAACACTAGAGCGTGACGAGGACAGGCTCCAAACCGAGGTCCAACAGAGCTCAAACCGAGGTTCACCAAAGCGCAAACTCGTCCAAATGCCGGTCTGATACTACCTTGGCAGTAGTCTTTGGACAATTTTATTTTAATAGACCCTTGATGTATTTCACTCGGTGATGTATTCACACATTCCTCGGCTCACACGACACACAAATTCGGTTTCGGGTTGTGGCAATCCCGCATGGCTATTTGTACGGGGTTGATGGAAACAGTCACCATATCACGCAACTGGAACCTGCCGACACACGAAGAGTCCAAACACCTGACAGCACCAGGAACATCCCTGCAGAGTCTCTGTTCGAACGTCTGGCAGGCGATGGTGTGGGTGGGGCGTTGTATCGCTGTTGTGACAACAATGTCGCCAATGTATCATTGCATGGACAAAGTGTGCGCCCATCGGCACACAAATATTAAGACTCTACAGGTGACGGTATTGTTGACGTTAGGCCGAGCCAGGGATCAAGCCGGGGTTGTCATGGGTTCATCAGGCCACTGGCGCCACAACCGGATAGTCGGTCCCACAACCAGGTGGTCTGGTGTTACTAGGCTTTTTTTCCACCCGTTTTATGGCGACATGCGACCCTTTATTGCGGAGACGAGCTCTACAATTTCGGTCACGCTGGCTGTGGTGTTCTTCGTCAGTTGCGATGACAA